TGGCAATATATATATATATACATTGAAAATATGATTTGGGGTTTTACCATAAACTATGATACTTGACTGAGAATTTGAAAAATGGAAAAAAGAGAGCGGTTGAATGATAAAAAAAAAAAGTGAGGTTCGAAAGTAATTGCAATTTCTATTTTAGAGGTATTTACATACATACACCTAATTATTATTTATTTAGATATCTAATACCTAATTTTAATTTTTACATTTAGACCATATTAATATTTCATATTATATAAAAACACCACAGTTTTAATTTTTAAAAGGTGAAATACACCTTTTTTTTGCATAGGTACGAAAACATATATGCAAAAAATGAAATTTAGGCGTTAGATATATAAATACATAGAAATTAAGTGATATGTGTGCACATAAAAATGTGTTCGCATGAATCTCAAAGCAGATGTGCGACCCAGGAAAGAAGTAGGATCGGCCGGACGAAGCAACCGGCGATCGTTTCCATATGTGCAACAACATAGAGACTCTCTTACCCAAACGGTCAACAGAATGTGACAAACGGAAGTCCCTCAGGAGGGTCGTCAGCCTCTAGAACAATCGATAAGGAACACTCACTCAAGCCATGAATAAATCGAACCAGGACTTGTTAGATGATGGTCGACCTTCATCAATCAAATGGCCCCGAGCTTATTAAATGCAAATAACCTTGTAAATTACCAAAAACCCCTTGAAAAGTTAATGATTAGAGGGTTGACATGTATTTTTATTATATTAGGACCTAGGACTATAAATATGAGTCCATATTATGAATAATGAACACATCTTTTGTTGATCTATTACTATTCATTCACTTTCTCTCTCTCTCTCTCTCTCTCTCACAATTAGAACTTTCCATTTATTAGTCGTGTTTCCCGAACAATTTCAAGTTCAATATATACATATAATTCATTCTAGGCAAAAAGAGTCGAATAAGAACGAACAACTTTTTGTTTGTATTCGACATGTTTATATATCGAGCATAAAAAATTATTCGTGTTTGACTTGTTAACTAATCAAATGAATCGAACATAAGTTTCTTAATGAGCCAAACACAAATTATTGACGAACAAGGAACAATTTTGATAGATCACAACAACTATAATCCAAACTATCCTCATACAATAATATGTGCTAGTTTATTTAAAAGAAATTATGATTTTGGCCTAATCATATAACATGTCGTTAACAAATTTATGCGGGGCTCTCCTTCAATTCTTCGGAGTTTCCGAAGCCAAGCTGCGATCTCACGAAAATTTTCTCTCCTTTCGTCTCTTTTAACGCAAATTTCTGGCTTGTCTGCGATCTCTGTCGTCTCTTTCTTCCTCCTCCCCCGGCTCTCTCCTCTCCCGTTCTGTCATGGCATCCGCATCCCTCGTCTTCAGCTCTTCCGGGATCTCAGGCAAGCCCGCATCCGCTTTCCCGAGAAGCTGGGCGCGGCTCCCCCCCTCCGTTCTCGCCATTGCGCCTCGCTCCCAGTTCCATCGATTGAGATTCAGATCGCCCTATTCCTCTTTTTCCGGTATTCTCCTCACATTTTCATTTTTGTCCGTTGATGGGTGGATTAAAGATATGATTTTGTCTTCCTGCAATTCATTTGGTTATAATTTATAGATCTATTGCCCGGAGTTAAGGCTCAAGTTACAGCCACAGAGCCTGCGAGTATTGAACAATCTAAAAAGGTTGAAGGTCCTGTCGTTGTTGTTACTGGAGCTTCTAGTTACTGGAGCTTCTAGAGGAATTCTAGAGGAATTGGAAAAGCAGTGGCTTTGGCATTGGGTAAAGCTGGGTGTAAGGTTAGTGGAAGTGTAGAATGTTGTGGGTGTTACATAATTTGACTTCAATCTTTTTCTGGCATTGCACTGCTTAATCTTTAATTTTTCTCGAATTTTTAGATTTTTGCCAGCTTTCTGCAAATTTAGCACTTATCCAGAGATTATCTTGTAAGGGCTGCTTTTACTTGTTGATGTATCAACCTTTAATTTTTTAACCGATATGGTATACTATAAACATGAAGATAGTTTTGTATGCAATTTTTGATATTTTCTTAAACTCCAAAGGTCTCTGAGGTAGGTTTGTCTACATGTAAAACTGGCTTCTTTCATCTTATGAGCAACTTCACCTGGTCCATATATCTGTTATGTTTATGCAATGATAAGGGAGTTGCATTTGGTTAACTATCTACTCTGCATAAAGTTCTGGTCTCTGGATGGATCCTTGGAAACTTGAACTCAGCTCTCACTAATGAATGGATTTTCTTTAGCGGTAATTTAAAGGATGGTGAAGATCAATAAAATATTTTCAGATGAAGCCAAATTCATTAGTAGAGGCTTTCAAGTAACTCTGTTTCACTTTTTCTCTGAAAACCTAGTTTATTTCACATTTATTGTGGTCACCGTTTTTTACACTTTGTCTATTTGCTGTAGGATTATGACTTAATCTCATGAGTTATACCATAGCAATTGTTAGTAGGGAAAGTTTACCTTGATTTCTGTTTGGCATAGAATTGTCTGCATTGCAGTTAATTTCCTGCATGTGTAGAATTTGTGAGGATATTAGAGTTGCTTGTTTCCTTCTCACCAATTTTTGTTAGATTCTATTAAATGTTGAGCCCATGAGCGCATGGTATGATGAGTTTATATTGATGATGATAAAACTTTGTTGCTTAATTACATGGATTGAGGTGCAAAGTGAACTTGAATTTTGAGTAAATTCATATTTAGATAAAATGGGCTAGATAAATAAGTTGGAGATTAGTTTATGTGGGGGTAAACAAAATAAGTTGGAGACTAGCTCTTTTTAATTTATGTATCACATCAGAACATATATTCTACCCTTTTGTCGATATAAAAAAAAAATCTAAGGAAGATATTGAACCTATAACCTCTAGCATAAAGGAGGAAATCTAGGCACTGCTCCAGTTCATTATGGATATTAATACTTTTTTTAATGTCATTTATCAGTTGTTTTTTACTTGCATTTGATGTTGCTCGGCTTTCAAGTTTAAAATCTAAGTGTCCATTATAGCTGATTAATTCTCTAGCTACATTCTAGCTACATTTGGAAGAGATTCCTTTTTTTTTTTGGTTACTTTTATGTTGAAGTTTGGTCTTGAATTTTGTCATTTAATGAACTTTGAAAAGTTTTTGAATTAATAAAAAAAAATTACGCATCACTTTTTATATTCATTTCATCGCTCATGTCATTGTTAGTATTGGATGCTCAGAATTGTGACAATCAGGCATCATCTTTATGAATGTTTATCACATGGCATGTAAGAATCATTCATTACTGCAACTAAATTGACTTAATTTCAGGTCCTTGTGAACTATGCACGCTCATCCAAGGAGGCTGAAGAAGTTTCAAAACAAGTAAGTTTTACACCTCCTTCATATTCTCTTTGAGAACTGTGCTAAGTGTTTTTTCCATGTTCTTGTTTCTGATACATGGGGAAATTCATTGATAAACTTAATTATTTGAGGCATAGATTGGAACTCCTTATTTTTTGAAGAAGTAATCAGAAAATAGTCCAGACTGGTTGTGCCATAAATTTCAATAGAATTCATTATCTGAAAATGTTAGCAACACCAGGAATTCCTTGTTTGTTAATCGAAAGAAAGTAAAATAAATTTATCAGACATGTTATACAATAAATTTCAGAATGAGACAATCGATCTTCGTTTTCCTTCTTCTATTCATTGGAAATGTTGTAAGTTTGCTTTAAGAAGTTAATTTGATTTGCAAGGGTATTGGAGCAGCATATGGAATGTGCAAAATGACCAGTTTACACTATTTTACTGCAGCCACTTTCAGTTACATGCATAGTAAATAAAGTAAATGTGATGCTTGTTGCACTATTTATTTGTGGAAGATATACCAAAGAAATCCAAAATTGTTTTTTTTTTTAAGATGTTACTTGACTGGGAAGATCACTACTCATATAACTGTGTTAATCTTTTGTGGCATTTACATACATACATAGTACACAAATCTTATTTATTTACATGTCTCTCAACTAAACTTTCATATTTACTCACAGAGCACTCAGATTTTTAATATCACAAAAAAAAAAAACACTGTTAACGCTTTTTAAAACTGAAATGCACATTTGCATGCATAGGCTTAAAGCATGAAAATGCTATATATCTAAATATGAAAATTTTGGTGTGAGATATGTAAATATTAAGAATTGTGTGCTACTTATGTGAATTTTCTAATCTTTTAACTGTTAATTCGATAGAATAATTCAATTGTTGCGCAGATATGCTTCTCCAGCCTACTCAGCAATACCTGTCAGTATTGATCTGTCACAATCTTTTGTTATAAATCTGTTATTAATGTCTGGGCAACGCCTGGTTTTTTATTATCTTCATACAAGTTTCCTATGAAATGCACATAATTGCCTTTTTTGGTGTGTTTGAGGACCTCAAACATCACTAACAAATTATAAAATTTTAATCCCGATTCTTCTCAGATTGAGGCATCTGGAGGTCAAGGCCTCACCTTTGGAGGAGATGTTTCAAAAGAAGCTGATGTGGAAGCTATGATCAAAACTGTAAATATAAAATGATATTATGCTGACCTTAAGATATTATGATCAAATCATTAAAGCTGATGTGGTTGATTAAAATTCTTTCAGGCTGTAGATGCATGGGGAACAGTAGATATATTGATCAACAATGCAGGTTCATCACCTTTTATTTCCCTGTAACCATCTGCAGTTCTTTACAAAACTAATGCAACCTTGTGTTCCAGGAATTACAAGAGATACTTTACTAATGAGGATGAAGAAATCTCAATGGCAAGAAGTAATTGATCTGAACCTTACAGGCGTCTTCCTATGTACGCAGGTACACATAGATGTGCATATTGTATTTAGCCGTTAAATTTGTTTTTCGTATTTTTTGAATTCGTTTCTTTTTCTTCCAGGCTGCAGCTAAAATAATGATGAAGAAAAAAAAGGTAACTCAAGATCCAAACCAATTCTGTAACTTAGTTTATTAATTTATTTTCTGATTTATGACAGCATTTCTTACTTTTGAATAACAAATTGTCCTTTTTGCGTTTTATTCCATGAACCAATTATTAATTCTTTACTTATTAGTTTATTTTCCAATTGATGGTGTACAAATGTTGTTTCTAAAATATATTTATACACTTGTGTAAACATGGGTTAGACATTTATATTCTCGAGTTTTCCAATGAAATTCAGATTAAGTCTAATAACTGGAAAGATCTCTCCCATTTTCTCTCATCGCCTTAAATCCTTCGGTATCAATGTCGTGGTTTGCTGAGTTAATCGACTGCATTGTTTGCAATTGTGACGGGCTTACGTCCAAGTAGGGAGGTCTGTTCTTAAAAGCCTCTCCATAAGTTGGAGGGTGGTTGGGTAAATGTGACGAGTTGAGTACTCTTATTAAGATTGTTGTGTGTTGGAATATCACATTAATATAGAAAGATGGACTTTTATATCTTTGCTATGAATGATTATTCGTATACAATAAAAAAATTATGAAGGGTAAGAAGTAAATTGGCCAATTTTAATAAGTGGATGGATGGAGGCAGCAAGGATAACATCTTCCCCAAAATGAGCTAAGTAAAGTTAACAATTAGTAGGTGGCTTATGATTTTAGGGATTTAGGACGACTTCATTGTTGAATGAAGGGGATAGATTGAACAAGTCTGACAATGATGATGACGGTCTTGGATCGCCAATGATTAATGATCAACAGCCAGTGGGTGCTGACTGCCAAGTTTCTACTTTCTTTCCTTCTTCTTTTGAATTCACGTGCAACACCGTTAGAAAGTTTATATGACTCATTTTTTAGGTTATTTTGGTAAAACATATGTTGGCCAATTCAAACTAAACACTTTTAACTGTTTGCTAAAATATGTTGGCTGACACAATCAATCTAAATTTTGCAAATCAGATACACTTCTCATTTGGAAATCTTGCCTGCGCGCAGAAGGAAATTAGTGGATCAAGGTTTGTTGAGAAATATAGAATAATCAAGTCAGAAATTTATTACTGCATTTAAAATATGAAAAGGTATGGTTTGGTGGGTATGGTGGTGAGCAAGATTTTATAATGATGAGAGAAAGTGAAAGAAAACTCAAAGAAGGAAAAACCTTGAGTTCCAACGACCCACAACAAAGTTAAGGAGATCAAACTTTTGATTTCTTTAATCTTTTTGGAAGAACTTTGCTCCATTATCGAATATATAGGATTATCACTTGAAAGAAAAGCTTGATGGCATTTGAACGCTTGTAGATTTCAAAATAAGAGAAGGGTGTCAGGTGAGGATTATGAGAAGTCCTGGTAGTAATTTATTGATTTGGAGAAGTTCAGTTTTAGTAGGAGCTGACATGACAAATTTAAATGCTGCTGTATTTGGGTAGCATCTCATTTTCATTGTCTGATTTACAATTGCAGCATAAAAACTTCTACTATATCTCAATGCTCAAATTTCAGGTAAATTTGTTTCTGAACCCGCTTATTCTTTTTCCTTACAGGGAAGGATTATAAACATATCTTCTGTTGTTGGCCTTGTTGGCAATATTGGTCAGGCAAACTATAGTGCTGCAAAAGCAGGGGTCATTGGTTTAACTAAATCTGTCGCTAGAGAATATGCAAGCAGAAATATCAATGTACCTGACAAATCCAGTGAAATTTTTTATTGTTTCATAGATATAACTTTATCGAGTTTGAATCGTTCAAATATACATTATTGTGCCTCAGGTGAATGCTGTCGCTCCTGGGTTCATTTCTTCTGATATGACTGTCAAGCTTGGAGAAGACATTGAGAAAAAAATCTTGCAGACAATCCCCTTAGGTAATCTTCTTTTGCAACACATATCCATATCATAAAATACAACTTGTGCTTTGTTAAATGCTCGGCCAGCTTATAAAGAAAATTCATTTCTTACCAAATGCTTGAGGGACCTTTTGAATGTTAAATTCCTAAAATCACCTGAAAACAATCACCAGTTTAATACTAAGCTTTTTTATTTATTTAATTTTATTTAATGATTGTATTGCTCTACTTTTCTAAACCAACAAAGCAGTTTCCTTGGCTTTATCAGGAATGAGTTTTGATTATATTTCTCAACGTCATATGTCTGCGAAATCAAAATGTCTCCTTGAAAATTAATTTTTTGCAACTTATAGGGAGATACGGGCAACCAGAAGAAGTTGCTGGTTTGGTGGAATTTTTGGCTCTTAGTCCTGCTGCAAGCTACATAACTGGACAGGTAAATTTGATATTTTATTATTGTATATATTGGAAGTTGTGGAGATAATTCATTTATTTATAAGGCTTCTGGTAGAGTCAGAATGGATAAATATGCAATTTTTACATGCAGGTTTTTACAATTGATGGTGGGATGGTGATGTGAGCAGATTTTGTGCTCTGGTTTCTGCTGTGCAACTCATTGTAATTTCTGTTGTGAATGAGGATATTTACGAGGCCATGAACAATTTTGATTTGTTTGCGTTTAGTTATAGATGCCCTAAGTCATTCATATAAACTTTATTGGAAGGAAAATGTTGAGAATGTTTTATTTCTAAGTTATGCTGGATGGGTCTAAAAAAAGATTAGTATAATATATGGTAATCAATTAATTTTTTTTTTTGAAGGCCAATGTTTTTTTTTTTTTTTGGGCCAACACAACTCAATTTCCATTTCTATGTTCTCCCATCTATATTCATGCTTACCCTTGGTAATGATAAAATGGTGCATCTTTCATGATTACCATTACTGAGATTTGTCTAATGCCTATAGATTGGGTTATATTTATGTGCTGAATATCACAAAATGATAATTTCTATTGCGAGCATATCTGGCTACTTTTATACATAAGAACACTGATTTCAGTGTCATTATTTCAGAGGCTTTTGGATTTCGAGTATCAATGTAAATTTTAATCACATTCAACTGCATGAAATTTGGGCTTTAGAGCAGCATATTCCTTGTTTATTAACAAACAATCAAATATGGAATAAAGAAATTTTAAAAAAAATGCAACTATGTATTTCACAAATTAAAACAGTTCAACACATGCTAGAGATTATCAACGTGTACATCTATTCTTTGAAACTTCAAACATCTTATTACAATCAGAAGCTTCAATTGTTGAACTTATATGTTCACCTGATGATCAAATAATATTAAACTTTTTAAATTCACTCACAAGCTCTCATCTTAATCCCAGAACAGTGACAATATATATATATATATATATATATATAGATATAGATAAAATTGCCAAGGGAGTGCAAGTTCTGTGGTTTGTATGTAGAGCAGCCTCTCTGAAAATCGTAATACCCCCGCGTGTAGGGTGTAGTATTCAAATTTTTAGCACACCTAGGGATGGCTAGGGCTCGTCTAATAGCCTCCGGACATTCCTTTTTCTAAAAATATAAAAACAATAATAATAATAATAATTGCCAAGGGGAATTAACCTTTTATCAAGGCGCACAAGTAAAATTACAATGCTGGCATATTATATAGTATAAAAATTTCTAATTGGTTTCTCACAATGTTTCTATCTCTAGATGCACCATTAAATAATAATAACAAATCCATCTCACTCGAGTCTGGAAATATGTCCATTATTCCTTGTTAACGTAAAAAGTTCCTTGTTAACGTAAAAAGAAAAAAAAAAAAAATTTAAAACAAACTCCATCTATCCAAGAAGATGCAACCATTTACATTAAAAAAAAAGATTAAATACGTATTATGGACGCATACGAGTTCTTTGAATCTTTATTATAGTTGAGCTCTACGAAAGTACCTCCTCCAATACCCTTAGCAAGCCTTCCTGGGTTCACACACATACAGCTAACGCCTTCCTCACCACTGCTTTCATAGCTTAATGCCTGCATTTTTTTCTTTTTTTAAGTTAAAATGATGGTATTTTGACGCGATATGAAAGATTTTGGTGATATAATGTATAAAACAAATTTTAGTTACATAGAAATTGGGAGGATGCATGCAAACACCCCGACTTAACAATAATATAAATTCAATAAATTTATAACAAATATAATCAAAATGGGACAGAAAAACTGCAAGGAAAGATTGATTAAAAGCTCTTACCTTAACGAACGGAGCGAGATCAGAGGGAAGCAGTAGGACATCAGGCGTGGAGGGGATGTCCAAGGCTTCTGGTGCAAGTGATAAATCCAAGGGTACACTTTCTGAAGGGGGATATAGAGGGTAGAAGCTGCAATGAAGTGGAAGACACAACACATGTATTTTTTAAGCAGTCATTCAGGACTAAAATACTGAAGAATCCACCAACAATTAATTACCTGTGTTGGTTCAGTAAATGCTTTGCGAGTCGTCCGATGCGATCTACTGAAGCATCAAATGAGTTTCGTGATAACTCCTCGCTGCTAAGTTGTTTTAAGATATCTACAGTGCAGCAATCAAACAAGATCTGAAACAGGAAAGGGTGAAGAATATAAGTGTGCAGAAGCAGGAACTTATGCCGTGGCTCGGCTATTTCTAAATAGAAAAGTATCAAAATGACACCCCTGGTTTTTGTCAGGGGTTATTTTAGTCTCAGAGTTTATAAAAATGTCAATTTAGCGCCACACTATTTTAATTGGGGGCTCAAATAGTCCTTAAGTAGGGACTATTTGAGCTCATATTTGAAACTTTTTATAGACTGAGATTAAATTAGCTGCATGTAAATAGTTAGGGAACCATTTTGGCACTTTATTTCTAAGAAATGCAGGTTTTAAACTTTAAAGGGCATCAATGATGTAACCAAAGTTGCTTTCAGATAGCTTTTTACAATGTTTACTTCAGCACTTCCAGTATCAAAGGTCTTATCATGATTAGGGTAAGAATTAAAGCTGTTTACAGTTCAAGTTTGCATCTGATTCGTCATGCTGTAGCCCAATCCATTGGAGGAATTCCTTCACATTTTCTATAAGGATATGGAGAAGGAAGTTATGCTATATGGATTCAAACTGGGGTGGTAAAAAGGATTCTCAATATCTAAATTGAGTGTGGCAAAAATGATAATATTAAAATATACAATGCAAAACTAGGAAGTAATGATTAAGAAATGTTAACATTAGAGGAATGGTTGGAGTGTTTGTTTATTGAAGATAAAAAAGGTGAAAATAGGCTTTAGATGATTTGAATATGTAGGGTGAAATATAGACATGTTAGATGAATAGATAAAATTAGTAATAGAGGATTAGAAAGGAGAAAGGGATTAGCTTTTAATGATAAAGACTAGAGTAGCGGGAAAGAAGAAATCAGGAGACCTTGAGAGAAATATAGAAAATTAAGAAAATTCATTCTTTTAATTAGGCAGCTAATTACACTCCACTAAAAATCATGAATATCCCATTTATAAATAAAATTTACAAAAAAAAAATAAAAATCTGATTAAATTGAATTTAAATATAATTTTTTGGATCCTAAATTGTCCTTAGAAGATGCACGCCTGGAGAGTTAGAGACGAGGGGAGGAGAAGAGAGAGAGTATATCAGGTAAAGATTACAGGGAGGGAAGTCCTCTATTCATCTTTTGACCTCCTATTTATAGGGGTATAATTGTACAATTATGAAAATGAGGGAATGATTATGGCAACCACCCAAAATGCAATTAATATTGGATTTGTGTTACAATTTGAGTGAATTAAAACAGCTGTCGATTTGCAGATGTGTTGAGTTCAGTCGACCGAAGCGATCAGTAGCGTAAAGATTGCTTCGGTCGAGGGAAAACAGTCGGTCGACTAATTTTGATCGGCCTACCCAACGAGAGGCTCATGTAGCTGGGACAATAAGCCAGGTCCGCATACTGTATCCGTCGACACCGTATATCAATCTACTCGACCGAGCAACCGGTCGTCAATGGGTTGGTTCAGATTGTGCTATTTGGTATAAGGCTTTGATTCTCTGGTCATTATCCTCAGTCGTTAGATCCCATTGAAATTTGTGTTGGTTGTTTTGGTGCATACAATAATCCTAATTTCACACACACACACGCGCGCGCGCGCGCGCACACACACACACACGCACGCGCGCACGCACACACACACGCGCGCGCGCGCGCGCACACACACACACACACAAAACTGTTGGTATCATCAAGTTTGAATATTCACTAGAAATTATATAAATCTCAAAAAAATCATGAAACAAGGTGAATAACCTTCTTTAATAAGCACTATCGATGACAAAAAATTAAAGCTCAAAACTAAATATTTTTTAAATCCAATTTTTCTTTTAATAAATATATTCCTAACAACCACCCTCTGAACCCAAAAGACTACCATTCAAAATATATTAAAAAATATTAAAAACAACCCAAAATTTTTAAAACTATAAAGAAATAAATACTAATAATTAATATAAGAATATCAAAATTAATTAAAAAATGTACATTACTTTGTGACCAGAAAAACACTTCATCTTTCACAAAAAGCTAATTGTGTAGAACAAATTCAAAAGTGATTTATTCTCACAATGGAGTCAATATCACATCAGATATCATTGAATAAGCCTAATTCAAAATTCAGTAGGAATAAAAATAAGACAAATGACCTCTAATCAAATAAATAGTCCAAAAATAACACAATTATAGAACGGTTATGCTAAAAGCTATTTGACAAGATTGACCGCCAAAGAAAAAAAGAATGCCATCATAATACTATTATGGCCAATATTTGTATGGTCAAAGATGATAAGGAGGATACTTGTTACAAAGATTTCTCCTAATCAATTTGGATTTATGTCGGGCAAGTCTACTATGGAAGCTATTCTTTTATTGAAAGGTTTGATGGAGAAGTTCAGAGATAATATGAGGATCTATATTTGATTTTTATTGATTTAGAAAAAGTTTACGATAAGGTTCCAAGAGATATCTTTTGGAGAGTTCTTGAGAAGAAAAATGTTGACATAACTTATATTCAAGTCATTAAAGATATCGAATTGAAGGCGGATTGACCAAATATTTTACTATTTCTGTTGGATGTATCAGGGATCGGCTTTAAGCCCATATCTTTTTGCTTTAGTTATGGATGGTCTTTTTGGACATTTACAGGAGGATGCACCTTGATGTATGCTTTTTGCTGATGATATCCTTCTCGTGGATAAGACGAGAAAAAGAACCCAGAAAAACTTGAATTATGGAGGTCTACATTGGAGTCTAAATTGGAGTCTAAAGGGAGTCTAAAGGCCTTCATTGGAGTAGAACTAAAACTGAATACATGAAATGTAATTTTATTAGTAGTAGCTCTAGTGATTAAAGTGTAAGTTTGGGTGATCAAATTATTAAAAGATGTGAACGATTTAGATAGCTTGGGTCTATTGTTCAAAGCGATGGTGATATAGATGGGGATGTTAATAGTAGAATTCAAGTTGGTTGGTTGAAGTGGAGAAATGCTTCGAGCCTTTTGTGTGATATAAATGTTCCTCTTAGACTAAAAGGAAAATTCTATAAGATGGTGGTGAGACCTACAATGCTCTATGGCGTTGAATGTTGGCCTTTAACAGAGAAGCATAATATTAAGTTAAGTGTTGTCGAGATTAGAATAATTAGGTGGATGAGTGGCTTTACACTTAGAGACAAAATGAGAAATGAATATATTCGTGATAGGGTTGGTGTAGCTCCAGTGAAACTAAATTAGAGAGAGTCATCTTGGATGATTTGGTCACATTAAACGTCGACCATCTGATGATCCAATTAGGAGAGTAGATATTTTAGATTTGAAATATGTTAAGAAAGGCAGAGGTAGACCTAGCAAGACTTGGGCTTATTGTATAAAAAATGATCTTGATTTATTAGAACTAAATGAAAATATGACACTAAATAGGACGCAATAGAGAAAAAGGATTCATGTAGTCGACCCCACCCCACGTAGTGGGATGAAGGCTTTATTGTTGTATTTGTATGGTCCCTAATTGCATAAATTTGAGTTCCTACTCATGTTTAATGCATATGATAGGAAACAAAACCTTATGTCAGAATGAGTTTGAATAAAATTAGCACTCAATTAGCTTCCAACCCATGAGATTTCCCTAGATGACAGACCAACAATTATTAATAGAGACTTATCTAATCAGGTTAGGTTGACCATATCTATTAAATAGATCAGTGTCAATGCATTCCAAAGATAGCCAAATAATGAGATCGTGATTAAAAGAATCATCATCCTTCAAACCAAATGCCTATAACAAAGGCAGATAACTTTCTCTTGCACTACAGAGCCAAAGCAATGATGCAACTATGACAGATCCAATAAATCTAGCCTTAATCAAAAATATTTCCTCTCATAGAGGAGATAAATAATCCTTGGTGCTTGCACACTTGAGAAATTATTGAATTTAGAAATTGAAGTCCTTGCAAGAGGGAAAAATATCTGAGCAATGTCAGTTCATTTGTCTCCTGAAAATGACGTCACCCACATCTCGCAGTGATGTGGGAAAAGCTTTCTAAAGTACACAATCACCTTCTTAAAAAAAAGTTACCAAGCTGACACCAAGACTTCGTTTCACCATAGTGACTACTTTTCAATTGTTTAATGTCATATAGCACTTTTAGCACATCTATCACTAAATTCCTTGAGATTTTTTTCCTCCTTTACTCACTTCAACTTTGATCCAACTTACCCTACATAGTCTAAGTGGTTCAGTTGAGTTTTCTATAATCCAACTCTTAAAAAATTCCTCTGAATAAGCTACATTTCACCTGAATCTGAATGAAGTGTTAAGAAGAAGAGAGAACAATTGCAACCTTATAAAGCGGGTCCCAAATTATTTGCTAGCATAGTTAAAATAAGCATTTGAAGTAGATAAGTAATCTTCACTTCATCTGGTGGGTTACGACTATAAAGGCATACCTCATTTGTGCTGAAACTGCACGGATTTGCAAGGAAAGATATCTGAATAGAAAAAAAGTAAAACACCATCTCAGAGTTGGGCATCATAAATATTTGAAAATTAATAACAATAAGAATGCGTCATGAATACCTGCTGTTTTGCATCATCCGGAATTTCAATATCAAAAGCAGGCTACATAACTCATTAATAGTCAGCGTTAATATTTTATAAAACATGTACTGAGATACAAGAAGAAGCTAAATTCGATAACCGTGAGCTTAATTAAATTTAAGCATAAAGAGGTGGATGAAGTCAGAGTTAGCATGGCCATGATTGTGGTACTGCTTATGGTGATAAAGATAATAAAAATAGAGGCGGTTCAAAATAATGATGATAAACAAGAATTTTAAAATTGCTGTACAAGAAGAGTTGAAAATTGAGGTGACATTAGCAATAATGCAAATAAATCTGAGAAAATAGACACTAAAATCCATACAAATGTGAAATCTCACAAATCCAAAGAAAATGATCACCTGTGGAAAAACAAAATCATGGTTCGCATCACGTATGGATGGCACGAGAACAATACGAGAAGCAGAACCCATATACTGAATGTAATCTTGCAACTGAATAAAAAAATGAAAAAAGTGTTAAAAGGTTTCATAAAAGAAATAAAAAATTAGTAATCATTTGTAAATATACTCCTATTACATATATATATATCTGTGTGTGTGTGTGTGTGTGTGTGTGTGTGTGTGTGTGTGTGTGTGTGTGGCTATGCAACTACCCTTCTGAGGATTTCATCACTGAAAATTTCATCAAAAAGCCTATCCACTGTTCCCTTCTTTATCTCCGGATGCTCAGAATCGAGAAATGGTCCCATCTATAAAAATGTTATTATGTCAATATAATGTAGGAAATTTTCTGGTTTGCAAAACACAAATGTTTAGAATAAAAATAAGTAATCGGGGTCATATTATTGTGGAATTACTAAAATTAGCAACTGTGGTTGTCTTCGGGTAGCATATGCTAGCAATTCTTTGAATGGCTCAAACAGCATGTTATCCGTTGTTGTGAAGGGACCAGCTGCGATGACCTGTTAAAGCCACTAAAGCCATTTTGTTAACAAAGTTAAACGCCTTTCTATCAGCAAAATGACACAAAAATTTCAGTTTAGTTGGCCTATCCTGATTATTGAGTTGTGGATCCCACTATTACCTTCCTAGTTAAGGACTAGGGAAATTTACATACACACAATGCTTATGCATTTACATATCTAACACCTAAATTTTAATATTTACATTTAGAACATCTTGGTATTAAAAAGCTATACATGAAAGGTGTATTTCACTTTAAAAAGTTAATGATCGTTTGGTATTTTTTATGTGATGTTAATTATTTGAGTGTTATGTATGTAAATATGAAATTTTAGGTGTTAAGACATGAATATTTAAGAATTGTGTGGTATATATATAAATGTCCCTTAAAGATTAACAACTGAAAGGTTAAATTCAATCCAGACAGTCTTATTTTCTCTGCATGCAAGTGGAGAAAACCTTCAAATTTGGAAACCCTCCAGCTGGGAGTAACTTCTAAGTAGAGATTGAAAAATAAAACTAAGAAGTGATTGCTCTGAAAAAAAAAAGAAAAAAAAAACTCCATGCCAGCCATCTCTGTTAATTATTGATATAAATCATAGCGCGCACTGCAAAGATTTGGGAGAGTGGTGAATTAGATAACCCATTGCCTTCTATTGATGCCAATAAATGCTTGGGGCATTTACATACAATACTACCCAATTCACCTAAATTTTGCTTTTCAAATTTATAGCACCCAAATCTTTCATATCACATCAAAAAATCCACAATTTTAACATTTAAAAAGTGAATGCAACTTTTTATGCACAGGTAAAGTGGATGCATGTAAAAATTGAAATTTAGGCGTTAGACACGTAAATACATAAGAATTGATTGGTATGCATGTAAATCTTCCTAAAAGCCTTTGCTATAGAGTGAAGATTGATAAATGAAAATTAGCAAAGGTATACAAACCACAGATAGAACTCTTGATGTAATGCTAGAGACATTTTGTTCATGGTCCATTGCTTGCTTCTTTGCAGGAGGCAAACCAACATCAGGAGCTAACGGCAAATTTTCGATAACCTTAGATGCCATCAAGCAGTGTCCACTTGGATTATGGCCCTCAATTCCGATCACCTGAAAATGCACCATTTCAGAATAAAAGGACTAAGTAGAAAGAATTCTATTATAGGCTTTTGGCACTTATGAAACAAAGATTTTACCTGGCCGGGAAAAAATGAAAACTGATCCAACCTTTGAAGGTCAATGCGAACACTCTGGCCTCCTGAATGCTCAACACTATTGCAAGACTTTAACAAAGTCAGCTGAAAATTAAAATTCTATTGAATAATGGCTATCTAAAACCTACAGACAATAAAAAAAGAAGATTTACATACATGCTGCACAATTACTTACATATCTAACACCTAAGCTTTGATACTTACATTAATACAACTTTACCTAAGCATCAAAAGGAGTATTTCACCTTTAAAAAGTTCATGATAGTGATTCTTTGGATGTAATAAGAAAATTTTGAGCATTCGAAATGTAAAAATCAAGATTTAGGAGTTGGATATGTTAAGGAAAACTGTGTACCTGCATTGTAGCATTATTGACTTATCATTCAACCGACCTTCTCCGTCACAACAAATCATACCGACTGCAAATATATTTTTCTGCAAAGGATTTAGTTTGCTTAGAATATCACAGTTGCAGTAATCATCATCATCATCATCATCATCATGACTGGCCATACCACAACAATTTATACTCAACTATAAAGTAATTGTAAAATTTGACATCAAAATTTATGGAAGGAAAAGCACAAGCAGTAATAAGTGTATTCTTACAGCCAAATTATAGCAACTAAAAGTTTAAAATGATTGTAAATTAACGCAACAAATTATACTGGAAAATCTGGACGCCGTAATTTTCTCTTGAAAAAAAAAAAAAAAAAAAAAAAAAAAAACACAGTACATGAAAGAGCCTTCACCTGTGAAGCCAATGTAGCATCATCTGGCTCTCCATAAAGTCCAGATGCGGTAAAAGCATGACTATGCCTTCTGATGCGATCTTCAAGAGAATTAAACTAAATAAATCAAAAGAAAATAACATGAACGATTTATGGAAAGAAAATGAGGCACATCCACATAAAAGATGTTAAAATGAAGGAATTCAATTACCCGATCTTCTATTCGATCATACATGAACCGACAACCTCGCTCTGGAAGTGAACAGTGAATATGTAAGGAGCACCTTTCATTAGGCTGAACTCTTCTAATTACATCATCATCCATGTTTTCAAACATGTTTTCAGGCGCTCGACTGCTTGATGAATGTCGAACTATTTGACCATTGAAAGTAAATTGTGATACAAACTTGTTCATCCTTTGCCCGAAAGGAGTTATGCGGCTATTTAACTTTGATCTCGTTGTAGATGAAGGTTTTTCGCTTGTAGCAGGTGTTGAACCTACATTTGACTCCAAATATGGATCCTCATTTAAATGATTTGGTGAAATAAGCAAACCTTCCTTGATGTCATCTTGTTCTTCACCATGCAGCCTAAGCAAGAACAAATGAACTTGTGAAAAAGCATAAGTATCAAAATAGTCCCTAAATTATTTACATAAGTTCATTTTAATCCCAGAGTCCACACATGCTCCACATTAGTCACCACACTCTTTAATACAAGCTAAAATATTCTCCATGGAGGATAATTTTGGCGCCAATTAAAAGAGACCGGGGACTAAATTGACACATTTATAAACTTTGAGACTAAATTGGCCCCATGCAATAAGTCAGGGGACCATTTTAGCATTTGCATGAATAAGGGCAGAAAAGACATGCAGTAGATAATAGAGGTTACTGCTTTAAAACCTTGATAATGCCATATAGGTGAGTAAAAAAAGATGTACAGAGTAAAACATATAAAAAGTATTTACTTCCGTTAGATTTAGCACTTACATATCAATATCATTGCTCGAGTAGATATGTATATTTGGTTCCTCCTTGATAAGCCTCTCCTTCTGGTCATTTTGAAGATGTGTCAAAAAACCATCCAAGTGAGAGGCCTCTATTCTTAAACCATTTAATTGCCTTTGCACAAGGGATAAAAAAGTTGCAACAAGAATTAATCGTCAGTAAGATAACTTCAAAAGAGTTATGGACGATGAATATAAAAAAAATTATGAAAAAGAAATACGACTATTTTACATTTTCATCAGAACACTCGTAGACTAAGCATGGACCTTTAACGAGTAAAAAGTCTACCAGAAGCAACTGCGCAAATCTTAGCTTGGATGTTGGTTTGATTATAAATTAACAAGCATTAATTTGTGATTTTCAACTCCTTATTCATTTTTTTTTAACTCAAATTTATAGCATCTTACTAAGGTCTTATTGTTTACAAATATAACTGCTATAAAATTGCAAAATTACATGCCTGATTTCCATAGTATGCACAAACAACATCCAAAGACCTATGTGTTAGTATTGCCAAGGGATAACAGGGCAGTGAGCAGTGGAAGTGTACAAGATCTTTTTACACAACCCATTCAATTGTTGACAAATGCCTCCCTTGTTAGCTTTGTAAACAACATAATTAGGAATGTAAACGAGCTAGAAGCAACCTCTGCTTGAGTTTGAACTTGATTAAGTAACCAAATTCGAGTTCGAGCTCGAGCATAATTATACTAGTTCGAGTCAGCTTGTTTATTATAAAAAAGAGAGAATAATATTAATTCAAGCTAGTGTTATCATAACATTTCAAATAAAATAAGAACTAAGAAGATAATTAAAAAAATAACTTAATATAAAATGTAAAATATTTTTTAAAAAAATACTTCAAAGAATTTAAAGTAAAATCTTGAATTTTAATATATATTGATTATATTTTATGTTAATTATTTCTTAAACAAGTTGGCTTGGCTCTGTTATATCCCTAATCATAATCTGATGAAATAATCTAGGGGAAAAAAATGCAATTGGCAAGGGATCCAACAGTAATTTCTAAGTTGATATCCTCAAAACGTCGACATCCTTCCTCACAACCTTCTAGGGTTCCAAGAAGCACTCCATCTACCAAATCCCAGCTTGAAATCTTAAAAACGCTTAATCAATAGAGAAACATAGAAATCCCTATAGATTATCATTTCTTTCCGATCAAATACAGGAAAAAAATCTTCATTTTTTTTAGATCTGACCGAGGAGAACAAGAAGCTGAGGTGAGATGATGAATCTGACCTGTTGAGAAAATATATATCCCAGTTCGCAACAAGGTCTGCCGGACTAAGTTTGTAATTAATACAGTAAGTGAGACCTGATGCATGGAAGCAATTACACGAAAAAAATAAAAAATCACCTTTCCAACTTTAACGAAATAATGAAAAAGAGAGAGATGAGAATTACATTTCTGAAGGATCTCGTCCTCCTCGACGAGAGAAAAACCGGCCTTCTCGAACTCAGCTTTGATCTCTGTATCCATGGCGGATAGGGCTCCTGTCTCTGCAGCGAGCGTTGGATGGAAGATGAAAAAATGGCGGGAAGAATAAGAGAGTGCAAAGTAGCCCCTTGCACGAGACCAAGGTAGACTCTCGGCAGTGGGGTTTGTTTTTTAGCGGCAAGGGTTTCGGGTGGGAAAAGGGTAGAGGTAGCGGGAGTTTTGTTTTAATATTTATTTTAAAAATATAAAGTTACTGAATTAATAATATTTTAATTTTAATTTTATTGACTATAAAATCTTAATTTTATCTAATTTTCTAATTTTTTTGGATAATCACCACTAATTTAAATATGGAGTTATAAATGAATGCCCTCTTTTGAAGTTCATGAATACATTAGCTAGGTGAAATATTTTTTATATTTAGTTGAGAGTGAAATTCAATGGTAGTTATGTTGATTTGATTGCGTTTGGGGCAGCTTGTGTTTATTCAGATAAGTCGCTTATCTAGAAACACAGACTGCGGTGTTCGACCTGCGTTCCGCATTTAGTGTAAAAAACCAATTGTATTTTCGGATAAGCTCCTCAAACGTAGTTTCCAAACAGTAAGACGACGTTTTGAGCTGCCCCAAATGAAGCCTTAGTAGTTGTCGTATGATTTTAGGGAATTAGGACAACTTCATTGTTGAATGCAAGGGATAGATTGAACAAGCCTAACAATGGTGACGACTGTCTTGGATCGCCGATAATTAATGATCAACAACCAGTGGGTGTCTAGTTTCTTCTATCTCTCGCTCTTCTTCTGAATTTACATGCAATACCATAGAAAGTTTACATGTCTTATTTTTTATGCTTTTTTGGATGATGATATTGTTTTCACTACCAACTAAAATTTCAGAGATATTTTATTTACCAGCATGATCAATTTGCTTGTGAAGATGTTAATGAGTACTTTGTAGGAAGCAAAATATTATGTATGTTCTATTTGATGAAATAACAAATGCTGAATTGATTAGAACCAAAAAATTTAGAGTTGGATAAATTTGATAGAGATTTTTGTTTATTATATTGTTCTCTGTTTTGGTGATCCGCTGCCATTTTGCATCTATTATAATATGTAATACTCATTTGGCAACTCGTTAATAGTAGAGGTACAAATTTGGTTTAAAGGGTCAGGTTCGGATCTGACTCAAGTTTTAACAACGCAAATATGCATGAGTCAAACTCATCCCGTTAACTAAATGAGTTAAAATATCTAACCCAAAATTCACCTGCCTTCAACCTGATTGATCCAAACCCCACTCGTTTAATACAAGGCATAAAAGCTATATATGTTAAATTGTGGTCAGATTCAAGTCATTTTTTGTCTAGCGGGTTAAATCGAACCTAACCAAAAAAGTTAAATCATTCAGGATTCTAAACCCAAAACAAATCCAAAATGACAGAGGAATTAGAGTTTTATTTCAATTTATGTGTATTGAGGTATGTGTACAAGTTTTTTATTTGTGTTTTAGGAATGGAATGCTTGTAAGTAGTAGAGCCTAGCATTTATAAATATGGGTTGCTTGTGTAGGCTGAAAGAAGGAATTTTTAGGCTTCTATTTGTTTTCTCTGGGGAGGTTTCGGTCCATCCAAAGCCTCGAAATTTCCAACCCAAATCACTGTTTCTCCAAGTTTTTTTCACTTTTCTTGTTGAAATCAATAACTGCCTCATTTTGATCGGTATCATTTGGTACGAGAGCTTTGGGGTTCTTACGTCCAATCCCTTTTTCAATCGGTTGAGATCTTCTCTGGTCTCCTCCTAAGATTGATTGGTGGATTGGGTTGCAAATTTCATCAGCCCAGCTCGTGCAAGATTGTTTCTTGATTCTCTCTTCCACATCCTTACGCTGCTCTCTCTCAATTTTTGAAGGTTCTTCCATTAATCTCTGGCTGAACTGAGACTTCTTGATCCAGCCTTGAAGCAGTCCAGTCTCATCCCAGATTTCTTTTGGATTCCTCTCAGTTTTCTTCAATTTTTCTCCTCCCCAAAACTCTCGGCACTGCATAATTCGATTTGTTATTGACAGTAGATTTGAAGCAGCACATTGGCAGCTTCCCATTGAATTTTGCTATAGTTGAACCTGTTCAATGTCACTTGTAACTGATCCAACATGCCACCATGAAGAAATTCGGCAACAAATCCATCAAGAACAGGTTCTTGAGGATCTACGACAAAAAAATCAACATTTGCAAACGCAAATTGAGGTCTTGGTGCGAAAAAGTTTGGAGGACTATCCAACTAAATTAGAATTTGAGGTGGTGGAAGACGAAACTGAAATCTCGTTCCACCAATAAAATTGGATGGATGGAGAAAATGAAATTCTTCAAGAAATGAATGAAATAATGAAATTTATGAAGAAAGGAATGAAATCCATTTCATTAAGAAGCCTCAAGTTTTAATAAATTTGAGGATTCAATGTTGGAATCATTGTCAATGCTCGTGTGCGATACAAAAACTGAGTACTATTTTTTGTCTTTATTTGTGAATATGCTCAAAAGGGAGTTCAGTTTTTTGAAGCAAAAAATTCTGAAAATGCAGTTGGCGAAAGAGCTGCTGATAGTGAAGATTCTCATGCCGGAAGGGATGCACAATGATTAAACTAGATGATATGCTTATTACGCTTCTCTTAGCCATCAGCAATCAGACAAATACAAATCTGTGTTCATTATAGTTGACATTTATTAGACACATTTAAGTCATCGAATGATATTTAAGTGGTTGGGAACATCCATTACATACTGGTTCTGCCGAATAAAATATAAATTCAGAAGATTTTTATCATGAAATAGATTGACCACTCACAATAGAACCTACCGACAGCATTCTTAGTCTTGATGTGCATTATGTGCGGCCCTCATTCGTGGCTGATATCTTCTTATTTTAGGATTTCAAATAACTTTTACTGTTTCATTACCTCATCTGCTCTGCTTAAGGAAATATATTTCGTACACCTTACTTTATAAAAACTAATGTAGGGTAAAATGTGGCCATCCTTTGTTAAAGTCTCTTCTTTTGTCTCTCTTGAACGTAAATTTCTGATTCCCTCCTCCTTGTTCCTGGCTTGTCTGCGAACATTATCATCTCTTTCTTCCTCCTCCCCTGCCTCTCTCCTCTCCCGTTCTGTCATGGCATCTGCATCGCTCATCTTCAGCTATTCCGGGATCTTCAGAAAGCCTTTCTCCACATCCGCTTCCTCGAGAAGCTCTACACTGGCGCACCTCCTTCGCCATTGCACCTAGCTCTCCATTCCATCGATTGAGGCTTAGATCAGAACCCTAATCTCTTTCTCCGGTACTCCCCTCACATTTTCGTTTTAGTTCGTTTATGGGTGGATTAAAGATATGATTTTGTCTTCATGTAATTCATTTGGTGATAATTTATAAATCTGTTGCCCGGAGATATGGCTCAAGTTACAGCCACAGAGCCTGCAATTATTGAACAATCTGAAAAGGTTGAAGGACCTGTCGTGGTTCTTACTGGAGCTTCTAGAGGAATTGGAAAAGCAGTGGCTTTGGCATTGGGTAAAGCTGGTTGTAAGGTTAGTGAAAGTGTAAAATGTGTTGGGTGTTACATAGTTTGACTTTAATTTTTTCTTGTATTGCACTGCTTAGTCTTTAATTTTTCTTGATTTGTTAGATTTTTACCATCTTATCCAGAGATTACCTTGTAATGTCTGTTTTTACTTGTTGATGTATCAACCTTTAATTCCTTAACAACATGGTATACTATAAACATGAAGATAGTTTTGTATGCAATCTTTGATATGTTCTTAAACTCCAAAGATCTCTGTGGTAAGTTATTCTACATGTCAAACTGACTTTTTTAATCTCACAAGTACCTTCATCTGGTCCATATATCTGCCATTTTTATGCAATAATAGGGGAGCTACATTAGTTTAACTATCTACTCCGTATAAAGTTCTGGTCTCTTCATGGATACTTGGAAACTTGAGCTTACCTCTCACTAATGAATGGTTTATCTTTAGCGGTGATTTAAGGGATGGCGAAGATTAATAAAATATTTTCTAATGAAGCCAAATTCATTAGTAGAGGCTTTTAAGTAACTCTGTTTCACTTTTGCTCCGAAAGCCTAGTTCAATTCACATTTATTGTGGTCACTGTTGTTTACTATTTTTCTATTAGTTGTTAAATTATGACTTAGGGTCTGTTTGAGACCGCTTGTGCTTTTCAGGATAAGCAGTTTATCCTGAAACGCGGCCCGCCAGTCTACCACCGGGGTCGACCCGCGACCTACTTTTAGTGTAAAAAACCCAAGCATGGTAGGCAGCGTTTTCAAAAACGCGCAAACCAAACGGTTATGTGGCGTTTTCAAAAACGCCACCGCACTTATACGCTGCCCCAAACGGGCCCTTAATCTCTTAGGCTTGTAGGGAAACTCTATATTTCTTTCTGTTTGGCACCTAAAGGTCAGTGTCCAAAGTAACATTCCTAGAATTGTTTGCATTGAGTTAATTTCTTGAACCTGTAGAATTTGTGAGGATATTGGAGTTGCAAACTTCCTTCTCACCAATTTATGTTAGAATCTATGAAATGTTGATTGAGTGATTAGCGCATGGTGTAATGAGTTTATTTTGATGATGAGAAAACTATGTTGCTTAATTACATGGATTGAGGTGCAAAGTGAGCTTGCATTTTGAGTAAATACATATATAGATAAAATGGGCTAGATAAATAAGTTGGAGATTTGTTTGTGTGGGGGTAAATAAAATAAGTTGGATCTCTCTTGAATTTATGCATCACATCATAACATATCTTATCCCCTTTATCAACGAAAAAAATAATATAAGGAAGATATTAAAATTATAACCTCTAGCATAATGGAGGAAATCTTGGCACTGCTCCAAACCACTGTGGATATTAAGGTTTTTTTTAATCTCATTTATCAATTATTATTCACTTTGCATTTGATGTTGTTTGGCTTTCAAGTGTCAATTAGAGCTGATTATGATATTGTTATCTTTAATGTACATATGTCTTACACACTTATAATATTCCCCTTAGTTGTGTTTGATGTAATATTTGGTATAGATGAACTATCTACATATCATGTTATTATTGCATATATCATAAGCGAACGGCAAATTTTGGTATTCTAGGCTCAGTTTCTTTTAGGTTAAATGATGGTAGATCATTATTATTTAATATCCATATCATGGATGTGCTAAATATCTAGCCCATGTGGTGTATCAACAAAATTAAAGTGCTAGTATGGATAATATTATTGTGGTTTGAGAATTTCTCGACGTACTTCTTAAAATTTGGATGGCTTGCCACTTGATCGTGAGAACGAGTTCACCATTGACTTACTTCCGAGGACCGCTCCAATTTCTAAGGCACCATATCAAATGGCTATTGTGGAACTCCATGAGCTCAAGATTCAGTTGCAATAATTGCTTAATAAGGAATTCATCGAGCCCAAAGTTTCACCTTAGGAGTAGCAATTTATTTGTGAAGAAAAAATACAAATATTAAAACCCCTAATAGGGTATCAAGCGACTGAGAATTTTTTTTATATTTGAGATCGACTACGTGCAGCTTCGGGTCATCAGAAGATGTATTTCGACCCAAAGCACAGAGAGATTGAATTCGATGTTGGATATCAATTTTCTTAAGATCTCACTTATGCATGGAGTTACAAGATTCGACAGAAGTGGAAAGCTTCATCCTCACTTCACTGATCTTTTTCAAGTGATCAACAGGGTCGCTAGAGTTTTAGACCATATGGCTGTTCTTTTAAGGCTTACAAGAGTACACATATTTCACATGTCTCTACTTTTGACCTACATGCATGATAACTATCATATCATCCATTACAAGACATTAGTGATTCCCGAGTTATACAAAAATGCGAGATCACATCTTGAAACAAGAAGTGCAACAACTTCAACACAATTCTATTCATTTTGTTAGAATATTTTGAATGATTTCATAGAAGTAACTTGGAAGATTAAAGTGATCGTGAAGTACCCGTAACTATTCCAAAACCAAATTATGAATTTGGAGAGCAAATTCTTTTAAGAGGGGTAGTATGTATGACCCAAACTTTCCTTTTATTTCCCTCCCACTACTGAACTGCTTTCCTTTTTTGATCTCATTATTCTTGCCTTGCCTCCTTTTTTTATTTCTTTGAGTGCACGATTCTCACAATCTAGGCCAACCAAATTCACCAATCTCCATCTCCCACTTGGCACATCATCCCTTCCTTGTTTAAGGAAGATTCTGTGCGATTAGGGCTTCATAGTGGCTGACCCTTTCCTCTGAATCTTTCAGTCCCTTCACTTCTTTATTTGACCGTTAGCTAATGCCAAACTCTTGTGGTGCATTTCGCTCTCATCCATATTCCTCCTTGTCATCTTCCTCTCTCAACAGTACTTGTCAAGCTCTAAGAAACTATAAGGATGAGCCTACTTCCTCCTCTCCCATTTCTCCATTTTATAAAAAATTATTATCTCATGTATAGCTATATATATATAT